TTTACTGTGTATAAACCTCTACATCTCAAAACTTGTCTATATCGAATTTTTTCTCATTCCTAAGAGATTTGAGATAGACAGGTTCAACTGTACTTGACTGTACTAATGTTAAAGATATTTTGCTATTAAAACAACTAAGTTTGAATAAGAGACGAAATATTAAAGATAAAATTTTAAATACTGTTTTTAATTTAACAATTTACAAAGATATTACAGTGGAACCTCGCTTAACGAGCACCTCACATAACGAGTGTTTTGCATAACGAACAAAACAAATTGTAAAAAATTGCCTCACTTAACGAGCGATGTTTTGCATAATGAGTGACGAGGAGAGAGGAAAAGTCCCGAATTGTGCACATGCTCCATCAGTCTGTGTTTAGCACTTGTTTTGCTATCATCTTAGTGTTGCTTGTGATCACATATTTTTCCAAACTTGTGTTCACACATATTATGTATAAACATCAACAACCATAACCCATTATATAATAAACACGCCAAATGATATGCCAAATTATTAGGCTACGTAAAGGCTATAAATAAATATTAAAAATTAATTGATTTGACTAGAGGTAGGCAGTTATGCTGCCGTCTCGTATTAAATTTAATGACCAATTCCAAATTAAATTTTAGAAATGTCTAAATGAAAAATTAATTATTTATAATTATTAAATTTAATAGGAGATGGCAGCATAACTGCCTACCTCTAGTCAAATTAATTAATTTCTAATATTTAATTATAGCCTTTACATAGCCCAAGAATTTGGCATATCATTTGGAGTGTTTATCAAGCATATTATCTGTGATTTTTTTTTTTGTACTGTAAATCGAATTCTTATTTCAGGTTTGTTCATTCTGTGCTAGAAGAAAAGATGATGATGATTCATGCTCCTTAACAATGCACATTGAACAATTTTCTTTGAATAAATGTTATACATAAAATATTTGAGTATTTTTTTTTTTTGGTATGGAACACATTATCATATTTTACATTAATTTCTATGGGAAAAATTGTTTCGCTTAACGAGTGTTTCGCATTATGAGTATGATTCTGGAATGAATTATGCTTGTTAAGTGAGGTTCCACTGTATGTTTAATGCAACTGTTATAAAAGAATGTTATTAATTAAAAATAGTTAAAGGTATTTTTTAATTACTGCTTTGAGTAGTTAAAACTTTAGAATAATTTTGATTAAGTTATTTATAATAGATGTATGATATGTTATATATTAAGAGTGTTAATTAATTTTTTGGACATTCTAAAACATTATTATTTAAATAATAAATATGGCTATAATAATTTGATAATTTGTGTAATTATTTAAACATTTTTTTCACATGGAAATTTTTAACAATTTATCATGACTGTTTTGTTTTGTTTATGCATCACTGTTGAATTTCTGAAAAAGCCAAGATTTTTTTTTACAGTTTTATGAGTGTTAACAACAAGAATATTTGTTAGCTATCATTATAAAATTATTCTGTCAAAATAATTTTTTCTATTATTAATGATTATATGGCATCATTAAATTATTGATAAAATAAAGTTTCTAAAATTACAATAAAAATATTTGATGATTCCAAAATTTTGTTCACATGGAAAAAGTGACTCAATAATAATTACTAAATTCAACACAAAATTAAACCTTTCTCAAGAAGTCTGTGTGTTTATTTTCAATAACATTTTCATGAGACAATTCCTTTAAAAAATTTTGCAGAAATAAACCTTATATACAGGGTGCGGCAGAAACAACATTCTGATTTGGCAGCAGCATTGCTTTGCTCGTAGTAGAGGTACAACAGTGGGTGTGGTCTTTTTTGATTTGTTAGTGCATGCCATTTTTAGTTACTGTCATGGCATAGAGCAGAGAGCATCATGCTTTTGTTGTTGAAGAGTTTGTTACGAACGGCAAATCTGTGATAACAATGCAACGGGCCTTCTGAATATGCTTTCAGCTCGGGTGTCATGATCTGGTTCTGGCTGCACCAACAATTCGTCATTGAGTTTCAAATTTTAGACGAACAGGTTCAGCTTTAAAAAGAAAGAGTCCTGGCTGCCCTAGAAGCATAACAAGACCAGAAGATGTGGCAGCTGCTATAGCTTTCATACAGCAATCGCCCAAGCGATCTGCATGCAAACATGCAGCTGCATTAAACATGTCTGATTGTAGTCTCCGCAGACTTACTCAGCTTGCTCCACATGCATCCATACAAAAGGATCGTCGTTCAGGAGTTTAATGATAGGGATTATCCAATCTGTAAAACTTTGTGTCAGGATATTCTGCAGAGCATTCTCCCAACAGTGGTACTGGTCTCCAGTGACAAAGTCCATTTTCATTTATTGGGGATGGTCAACAAACAGAACTTCAGGTACTGGACAGTAATCCTCAAGAACGCCACCAACGACCACTTCATATTCCGAAAGTTACGGTTTAGTGTGCCTTAGGTGATTTTGATGGTCCTTATTTCTTTGAAGAATACGGTGTTACAGTGACAGTAATGTCAGAGCACTATTGTGAATTGCTTGAGAATTTTCTCCATCCATTAGTTAACGGTTTACTCAATGATCATGATCTGGAAGACGTATGGTTTCAGCAAGATGGTGCCATGTTGCATACCTCTAGAAGGTCATTTGGAATTTTCAGAAACTTGTTTCCAGGCCATTTTGTCTCTTTACAGGGTGATATTGGTTGGCCACCACATTCGCCAGATTTGGTCCCATGTGATTTTTTTCTGTAGGGCTATCTGAAATCAAAAGTGTACCAACACCTACTAACAAATTTGCAAGAACTCAAGGCAGCAATTACACAAGAAATCATGGCGATTCCACTGGACATGGTCTGCAGATCAATGCAAAATTTCCGAAAGAGACTTCAAAACTACATCGACATTGACGGTTGCCATTTAACTGATGTACTCTTCAAAACCTAATGATTTTGAAGAGTACATCAGTTAAATGGATGACAGTGGCATACTGTGTACTTATCAGGTATAAAAGATTTCTTTCTCTATCTTGCTTTGTATCTTTATTATTGTCATTTCAAATCAGAATGTTCTTTCTGCCGCACCCTGTATATTTGTTTGAGTTCTGTGTTGAATTTAGTTTCCAAAATTTTTCTCTGAAATAGAACATTCAGTTTATTTTCTTATATAATAAAACCTGCAAAAGCTGGAACCAGAAGTAGGCCAGAAATTTTCAGAAGCCAAAAGTTCCAATATTTTTCAGTAAACAATTACATTAATCTAACAAATATTCTCTGAAATTCAGAAACTATGAGAAATGGATGAAATGAAAGAAATCATGATAATGCAACTCAAATATGAGGAAGTATAAACACAAAAGCTAGAAACTTGTGTTTTGTATTTTTGCATTACAATAAAATTTATAAGAAAATAAGCATATTTTGGCAACATAATAAGCATAAAGATTACTGCAAATTATAACAAGTGAATGTAAAAAAGAAAAGAAAGACTAAAGCTGTACTAACAATAAATAAAGTAGAATTAACTAAATTTAGTTTTGAGAGATTGACAAAGGAAGAGAAATCACATTTGGATACTAACCATACCCATTCTGTCATCCTGTTTGATTATTAATGAAAGTTCATTGAAAGATGTGATAATTGCTCTATCAGTAGAAACCTGAGTAGAAGGTTAGATCATCTTCCAAAAATAAGATTGGTTTATCCCATTATAATTATGCTTTTCTGCCTGAGTCCCACTTCATTAAGTATTGTTCTATTGAGGTCTATTGACATATTGTTTTATTAAAAATTGAACTTTTCCCATTTATTTATATGTAAAATTTTTACAATATATACAAATATCACTAATAAATGATGAACATATGTAAATCATAAAAAAAATTATTTTTTCAGCCAATCCCATAAAAGCTTAAAGAAAGATTTTCAGGGCATTTGTATAGGCAATAGAAGAATGTTAAGATTATCCTATCAATGATGGAAGACCTGCAAAACATAGAAAAACAAAATAGTCCAATTGAATTCCACTTTTGCAGGTTTTACTGTATTGAAAATTTTAAAGTAATAAAGTAAAATTTAAATATTTTAAAATCTAGAAGACATCAAAATTGAGAAAAGCAACATAGTTTAATAATCTATAAAGTTGTTTTTGTAGTAAAACATTTACTACTGCTGTATTAAATTCAGTTCAATTTTTTTTATATTAATTTAACTATCTCATACAGTACTCAAACAGAACATTTCAACATGTGTCTTATCATAATTAAATGTCGTTTTAATTATTATTCTCTTATTAGAACATTAAAGAAATATATCCTCATTGACTTTAAATCTTAAATGTTTTATTGATGAAATATTTTGAATTAGAAAATTTTTATATTAATGAATGTTGTTTTTCTCATTATTATATCAAGAAAGCTGATAAAACTATTGACAATTATACATGTTTAGTATCAAAATTATAAAAGAATAATTCTTTCTTTTTATCTAATCAAGAAAATCAAGTGTTTATGATCTTGTTGATTTTAATAACCAAATATTTTAAAGTATATTAAGTTCATCTTCAGAGTCTTTGAAAACTTTAGAATAGAAAAAAAAATATATTTTATTGTTAAAAATTCAAAATACAAAACCATTTGTATTTTGAATTTCTACTTATAATTTCATTATTTAATAATTTGATTGTTAAAATGAACAAGTTTTAAGAAAGCAGTTGTTTTTCTTGATTACATAAATTTAATATTTTATTAATGAAAAGGTATAAATATATACAATCAAAAATATTCTTTAATAACCAAGTGTTTTCACTTCATACAAAATTTTTTGCAAATAAAATTTTATTCTATTTGAGAAATATGCTTTTTTCAGATTTTTGTTGTTTAAATTTTTGTCTTACGTTATATAATATGATGAATATTGATGAGTTTTGTAATAGTTATGCCAAAAGCTTGTTTGGTTTGATTTCAGCACTTTTGCTTTCTGCTTGATTCTTTTATTTTGCTACTTACATGCTTGTTTGCAGCAAAAACAGCAGCAGAAACAGAATGGTGTGGTGAAAAGGCAACGTGGTCGACCTAGGAAGCATCACTGTAAAAATGTGGGTGTTTTTTTTAACCAACTAACTTCTACATTTTATGTTGCTGCAATTTTATTTTCTAAAGCTTTATTTTTACTTTAGATAGCTTGCAATTTTTCTCTTTTCTTTCGATCAGAAAAATCTTCTCAAACTGAGTTTATATCATGCTGCATGTTTCTTTTATTAAACCCTTCATTATAATTTATTAATGAATAACTAATTATTTTGAAATATTACTATTTATAATTAATTTGTTTATAATATAATCTTTTATTAAATATAAGTTAAGAATAATTTATTACAATGGATGGAGTAATTATTTAACAAAGAAATTTATTTAAAATTAAGTAATTAGATATATATATCTAATATATATAATATTTTTAATTTTTATATTAGTATTTTAAAATAATTTAATTTTTTAAATTTTTATAATTTACATACATATTAAGACTTTAATAAACTTTAATTTTAACCAATGCAGTTTATCCTTAATTATGTATTAATTGTTTCTAACTGGAATGAGTTTTTAATGGCATTAAAAGTTATTCAATAGAATAACAATAATAATTTAAAACTAACTAAACTTATTTGTTTATGCCACTAAATAATAATTGGAAAGTAGATTTGAGTTAAATTTTTAATGCTGTTTAAATTTAATTTCTGAAACATGACCAAAAAAATTTGCATACTGATTGAAATATTTCTTTGAATGAATGATATATAAAATCAACAGGTTTCTAAATGCAACTGTTATGTTTATAAATTTTTATATTTTTATTCTATATTTCATTTTTTTGCTACATATAGAAAACAAGTAAGGATTTGCCTTTTGATTTATTCTATATGAGCCTTGTTACATTTATCTGAATTCTATTTATATTTTAACATAGCCTAAAAATTAACAAGATTTTGTCTATCTTAAGTTTGGAGAACAGCCAAAGAAAACTAAGAGAATGTGGAAAGTACAGAAATGCTTTTTGCATTGAAAAATTTTTACAAGAAAAAAGAGCAGTATATCATAAAATATTATCATGGTATTTTAATCCTCATAATATACTTCTTCAGTCAGTCTTCTCATTATTATTATTCCCATTTGGCAATCACCAAAATTATTTAACAATTATTAGATACTGTTATTAAGAATTATTTCTTTTATCAATGCATTATATATATATATATATATATATATAATACTTGGAAAATATATAAGAGTAAACTTTCCGGTATCTGTTATTATGCATTGTATCATCACTTGCACTATCCATAACATATCTTTTTTGTATGTTATAAAACTTCCATTATATTAAATTTTTAATCATGTCTTGTATTAAAGTTTCAGGTGTTTTTGAAAAGTAGCAATGGTGATATAGTAGAGTCCCACTAGTCTGAACACCACTAATTTGAACTTCTGCCTAATCTGAACACATTTCAGTCAGCGGAGAGGAAATTTTCTCTAACAAGAGGTCCACTTAGGGGTGTTTCCCTTTCACTTTCCTGAGTGAACCATATGAATAAGGCTTCATCAAGCTTATCAAACATTGAGGGCCTTGATGTTTGTTGTTTTCAACTGATTTTTCTGAAGTAGAAGCACAAAACTGCTTGATCTTTGTGTGGTTTTTTTTTCCAGTCGGTTATTTTGGCCTTGTCCATTCCAAAGTCTACTGCAAATTCATTGCACTTTCACTCTTGTCTAGCCTTTTCAAAATGTCCAGCTTATCTTTTAACATACATGTATGTTTCCATTTCGTGACCATTGTAGCAGCAGACTAAACTAAATTAAAATAATGTAGAGAAAAGAGTGTATACAACATCCACAATTAAGCATTCTAACTCACAAAGTAGCATCAGTTAACTGATTGGAATCCTAGACTGTGTATTAAAAACAATTTTAGAATGTGTATTAAAAATTTTTTACAGTTAAAATAATTTTAAGGTAAACAATGAAGGCATGTTGCCATTTCAAAATTACAAAACTTGTTTTTGTCAATTGTTTGCATCCTCTATTGAGTACAAGACAAATGAAATAAAGGGTGGGGTGCTGATGTCATTGATGATGTTGGATCTATATAAACCAGACCTGTTTTACTACTTGCTTCTGTATTATTTCAGTTATTCGGCTAATCCAAACAAGGTTCGGTCCCAATTAGTTCAGACTAGCAGAAATCTACTGTATTGAAATAGTGATTTATACACTAGATCAATGCTTTTCAAACTAGTTGATATACAGCCTTATTTTTACCAATTACAATGACCAGTACCATATTTTTTCTATATTACCGTTCAGTATTATATTCAAATGTCATGCACCTGCACAACAGAATTTTTGTATTTAGATGCATGTAAAGTGCATTGCTATGACATAATTATCAATTATAATTATATTTTTTTAATATGGAATTTCATACCTTGTTTATAGAAAGTTTCCAGAAGAAAACTTGCAGCTAATGTACTATGGATCATCATTTTGAATGCTTTTGATTATGTGTTCTTTATTTATTTATGTCTTGCTTATAAATTTTTATTTAATTAAAAGAAAATAATAAGTTTTACAAATGAATATGAAATGTTATTGATAAATTCAAAAAAGAAAGATAGCTTTGTTGAACCAAATTGCAACAGAGTTCCAAATATTTTTGGCCTACAGACTGATTTTCAGAAGACTACAAGAGTGCATCAAGTTAACAAGAAGCTAAATAGACAAATCAGTGATATGATTCATTTCATATGTAATAGACTGTCATTGGCTTGTCACTTAAATGCATCCCATTATTATTCATTATGTTCTTCTGAAGATGAACCTGAAGACATTTTGTGTTCTATTGAAATTTGGTGTAATAAAACAGTTTATAGGTATATAGAAAATTACATTGGCCTCAAATTACTCACTGAAATGTTTGAGAGGAAGCTAGTCTTTTCATCAAAATAGTGTATGGTTCGGTATAATAGCACAGCCAGAAATTTAGCAAGGGAATGCAATTTAAAATATCAAGTATTAAATAATGTTCAAATAAAGCTGCAATGCAAAATACTGTATACAAATTATTATATATATACACTAGCCAATAAGCCCAGTGTTGCCTGGGCAAAAAGTAACAACAAACATTAAGATTATTAGATTATTTTGTACTTCTAATCTTTCTATTCTATTATATTATAGTATTTGATTTATATAACTAATGATACAAAGGTTATCTCACAGCCAAGTGACTAATCTAACATATTTTAAAAATTCTTTAAATTGTGTACAGTAGAGGAATAAAACATTTTAAAAATGTGTTAGATTGGTGATAAACCCTTATGTAAGATACCTTTGTAGTTATATCAAATACTATATTAGATTATAATATATAACAAACATTAAAATGAAAATCATGTAGTTTGGTTATTTTAATCTACCATTGTCATGTTTATTGCAATACTCAGATGGTACAAAATGAAACACTTTCAATGATCAAGTAGACAGGAATTGAAAATATGATATTCAAGGTATCATAATTTTTTATAATGTTAACTCTAACAATCTGTTCCATTCACAGCCAAATATCAAGTGGTAATCTGACAACAAATCAAAGTTTGTGAAAAACAGACCTATGTAATTTTCCTATTCAAATGCCACCACACTGTTGGACAATAGAAAGAGTGGAAAAAGTGTGGAAGGTGGTTGAATTAATTTGACTAAAAGTAATTATTCACCCTCTCTCAGAAGAGAAGATGGTTAATTACTATTAATTAATAATGGCTTACTATTAATATTTCAAAAGTGATCCATATCAGATAGATTGTGATGGCTCTGCATGTGATCAAAGTTGCTAACCTTAACATCTGAAAGATTTCATATGACTTGTTTAAATAAAAAGAAATTTTATAAAAATGCCAGAATAATTGCTTTTATGTGATAATAAAGTGTTTATATTTTTGCAACAGATTGTATAAACTAAGTTGGAAGTATATTCTTGTAAATATCACAAAAACTTATACCTTTATAAATCCAGCAATGAATTTAATAAAATATAAACATTTTTGATCAGTTTCACTGATCTTCCTCAGTTACAGAATATAACAGAATGGAAGAATAAAAGAACGTAAATACAAATATAAAAAAATTAATATTGCATTTATAGAAAAATTATTAGAATTAGTTTGGTTTATTTGGTTACAGCAATGCAATACTTGAGCAATCTGCCGAGGGAATGCATCCCAAGAAGACTTTTATTAAAGCTGGTCCCTAATTAGATGTTACTAATGTGAAGAAAGCCCAGTAAACTCCACATGACCAGCCTGTTGGCCATGCCCGAACCTACGATTGACTACCAGTGTTTGGTGGTTTTATCCACTTGGCTAATGAAGGGTGCTTATTAGAATTAAAAAGTACTGTTCAGAAATGAAAAAATTTGAGTTGTTACATGTGGAAAATTAAATACTTAGACACTTTTCACACAGTAACACTTTTAATTCCATGCAGGCAAGTGTTATGTTCTATGTGTTGCAGTAATTAAGTGGATATAATATATATTTTAGAAAATTATGTCTGTTTTAAGAATTCTATTTAGTTTATTATTTTCTTAAATACATTTTGCCAATAGATGGTGCTACATATAAACCCAGTAAATGGAATGCAGACAGAAATAAATGATATATAGAAATCTAATAAATATTTTGGGGTGATATTTATGACATTATCTAAGTTAGAAGCGTGTTAACATAACTGCCGAGTTTTGTAGCAATTGGTCAAACAGCCTAGGTGTGCATAGCAAACAAACAAACATTCTCATTTGTATATATATAACACATTTTAAATTTTTGTAAACTTTGTATATATTTTTCTGTAGTTTACTTTGTTAATCTCGTCCCTTTTGGAATGAGGTTAACAACACCAATAAAATAAAGAGAGTTCGAGTGAGGACCTGAAAGTGAACGGAGGTGTTATTTTATGGTCTCCAATTTTCTTTGTCTTGTTCAACCTACACTCGACCTTATGACTACGACTTCAAAATAATACGACATATATATATATAGTC